CCGCTCTTGTCTGTTACTAGGGTGCCACGAGGAGGAAGACGTCAGGGTGGGATAATTTCAAGCATCAGTGGTTCAGCATTCTGTCCGTTTCTTCACTCCCTGACTCTGAGTTTGTGAATGTGGCATTCTTTGGCCAACGAAATGAGGCGGAAGTCACAGTGTGCCTGTCCTGGGAGCCTAGGACTATGAGGTCTTGTGCATTTCCACTTGCTTTGTTGCTCTCCTGCCACCACCATGAGCACATACCAGGCTAGCCTGCTGGGTCAGGGGAAGGATGAGAGGCACGTGGAGCAGAGCCGTCCCAGCCTAGATCAGCCGACCCCCAGGCATTGAGTGAGCTCAGCCAGATCAGCAGAGCTGCCTGCTGAGCCAGCGTAGACTAGCTGATCCCTAGCTGACCCTCAGATGCACGAGCTACATAAACGTTCATTGCTGTAAGCTGGGGAGATTTGAGGGTAGGTTGTTACACAGCATTTCTGTTGCAAAAGCTACCTGATGTATTTACTAATGCTTCTCCCAGTGTCTGGCAGATGGGATGTTAAATAAACTCATTCAATGAATAACTGTGAACTGAGGATGGAAGCATATCCCATTTTACCTTCACAACAATCCTCTAACATGGTCAAGCATAATTGCCCAAAATTAGAGAAAAAAGAATCTGAGGCCCAGAAGGGTTACATAGCTACCTAAGATCACACAGCAAGAAAATAGCAAAGCCAGTGTTTGAATCCAGGTCCTGTGCCTCTAAGGCTAGTGCTCTTTTCAGCACATGTGAGCACAGCCAGAGCTGGCCCTACAGCCCTGTGAGTGGCACTGCCTGGCCTTGGTGTTGGGTCCTTATGAGGCAGGTACCAAGGGCTTCCCATCTGCCTGTTCGTGGTCAATGTGAGCACGAGTGCAAGGGCTGAAACCCTCAGAGGGACATCAGCAGTGTGGCACTGAGACCCCTAATTTCACTTGGCCAGAGCCAAATGTGGAACGGTTCGGGTTGGAGAGGAGGTGGCAGGTTTTGTTTTCTCTCCTGATACTGTGCTGTGAGCCTTTGAAGTGTGTCAGCACCTCATTACAATACCGAGTCATGACTGCAAGACCCACGGACGAGACCAGGAGCACAGGGCTGCACTCCTTCCAGGAGGGGTGAGCCTGGTCCTACCCCTACCCTGTGCTTGAGGAATTACTCACTGTCCCTTAAGCGCCTGGGGATGAGGACTCCCGTCTTTCAGATATTTCGCCCCCGCCAAATGCTTCCTATGGAATCTTCCCTCTTTCGGCTCTAAAACACCCTGTTGGGAAGTGCTCTGGAACCTTAAGAGCCTCTTGCAACTCAAGTTCTCACGCCTCCTTCTCCCACGCGCTTCCCTGATGAAAGCTCCCCGAGCTTTGCATGAGCTCTGACCCTTTGGAAAGTTACGTGAGCATCACATGAGCTGCCTTATAGGGCTTTGGGAGGCTTAAATGTAAACCTGGCTAGGACAGATCTAGAGAGCCACACCATCTCATCTCCTGAGAACCTGTCATTTAGCAGATGGACACGAGCAGACCTTCTTGAGCTGCCCCACAGAGTAAGGACATCAGACCCAGTGGAGAACAGCCAGGGAGACCTCTGTCTCCATCACAAATGGAGGGGAAGGAAGCGCAGGGGGGAAACACACTGGTGAAGGCACAAAGGACGTCTCTCTGCACAAGCTCTACCGGGGTCAGTGGTCCAGGGAGATGAAAGCGCACTGGACCAGGAGTATCAGAATCTAGTTTCACCTGCAAGAGGCTTGGTGTTTGCCCTTGAACAAGAGCCCCGCATCCTCGTCCCTCACCCCCATTCCCAGCCTGGGCTTCAGTCTGTCTGAGAAATCAGGGAACCGATCAGCTAAAGCCCTTTCCAATGGTAAGAGTTTTGGATCCTGAACTCAGGCGGGTCTCAGCAACAGCATCATCAGGAGTCTGGCCAGAGACATCACTAAGTGACCAGTCGGGGCCTCTCTCCCTGCTGACCCCTCTACGCTTGCTGCTCACGGCTCCCCACTTCCCCAAACGTGTCCCTTGTGACCACTTCCCAGCATTTCTACAGCCTCTTTTTGAGCTGGGCCTGGAGAAGCCTGGAGTCCAGGGGCTGTTGTATCTGGGGGGTCTGGCGCACAGAGGGGGTGTGCGTGGCGGCAAAGGGGCACCAGGGAGGGGCTTGGTGGGCACTTACTGCGGGCCCCGTGAAGGGCACATGGTCACAGTTCTCCTGCCAGGACTGGTTGAGGCTCTGGGCAAACTCTTGGAAGAAAGCATGGGACTGGTTGAAAATGGAAAATCCCAGGATGTTGACGCGATCGTCCACGAGGCTGTCCATCCTCTGGAGCGAAAACTCCTGAAAGACGCAGCAGTCAGAGCAGAGCAGGGTTAGGAAGGGAAGAGTGGGGTGGGCTCTGCAGGAGCACAGCTGGGCAGTGCGTTCTAGCCACATGCACACCATTGCCAGGCGCTCTGCTAGGCGTCGGGGTCCAGAGATAACGGAGAGTCCTTCTTTGCGTAGCCCACAGTGTTGAGGTGCCAGGAGGGAGAAGAGAGAAACAAACAGAAAGATCTCTAAGAGAGGCATGTGTACGATGCTCTGGGTGGAGAGAGAAAGAAAAACACACATGAGACTGTGGAGGCAGGACTGGGTCTGCAGAAGGTGTGACCCATGAGCTGAGTCTTGAAGGATGCCTAGGCGTTTTCTGGGTAGAAAATGTGGATGGACAAAGGCTATTCCAGACAGAAGTCACCATGGATACAAAGGCATGGAGGTGAGACAGTGCGTGGGCGCCTGCAGTGTACTTTGACAGAAGCATCGCTCCTCAAAGTGTGTCCGCAGAATACCTGCCATCAGACTCCCCCAGGTATCTGTAAAAAAAAAGTGATGATCCCTGCACCCCACCGAACACCAGCTGAATCTCGATCTCGGGAGCCGAGGCCCAGGAGTCTGCATTTACAGCAGGGCCCAAGGCTATACGCACACCAATGTTCGGGAGTCACTGGGTCAGCACCGGGAGGCATGTGGGTGGGGAGACGGTGAGAGATGAGGCTGGAGACGTCAGCAGGGTCGGAGCAGAGCGGCCCGGCTGCCAGGCTGGGGAGCTTTTGCACTTCATCCTGTAGTGATGGGACCTGAGGGCACTGTCAGCAGAGGAGTGACAAGGTCAAGTTCGCTAAGAATCTCAACCCGAAGGTCTGCAGGTAGGGCTGTGGCTTCATTTGTTATTACTACTGTTTACTCATTTAACACACATTTAAGTGCTTATTATGTGCCAGACACGGGCACAGAGGACGTTCTAGACACAGAAGTCGTGAACAAGAAACACATTTCCTGATGTCCAGGAACTTGCAGCTTCGGGGAAAAGACAGATTGTAAATAGACAAATAAATACATATACTGTCAGATATCTATGGGGGGTTAGGGTGGGGCTGCTACTTGAGATGAGGCACTCAGAGAAACCCATGTGGGGCAGTGACATTTCGAAGCTCAAAGGAATTCTCCCAGGAGGCGTGGCCCTCACCCGATCACCTGGCCGGGGCCACGTGTTCACTCAGCTAAAACCTGCAGGCGTTGGTCTTACTGAGGCCAGATAGCGTCACAGGGAGAAGAATCCCCCTCCTCAGGCAGGGCTGAGCTCAGAGCCCTGGACTCCCAAGACCCACCTTGGCCCTACACAGGAAAAACAGGCAAGAGGGTGGGGGCTCTTCAGCTCGTCAATTCCCGCTCCTGGAATAATGCCTTCAAATGCGGGTCAGGCCATCCTTGTGCGTGGAATTCACATTCATCACACGTTCATTCCACGTGCCTCGCCCACAGCTCTGCGCCCGGTGGGCAAGTGGTCGTTAGACCCCAGGACTAAGCCATCAGCCACTCAGCCTGACAGGACCGATGGCAGGGGCCTTGGGCTTACTTTATGGCTGAGCAGAAACATGACTTTCCTTCAGGAGGCCTCCTTGTCTTAACACTCAGCTGCTCCAGGCCCCTGGCATGTCCCTGGCATCCTCCCTCACGTCCACAGCCACGGCCAAGCCCTCGGGCCACAGGCCTGAGCTCTGCCTGGAGTCCATCCTTATTAGCTGCAGCTTGCAGACTAAAGTTACAAAGATTCCTTTGGAGCCACCAACCCCTGACAGCATAGAGTGGGATGAGGATTAAGTGTATTTTGGATCCTGCCACACTCCTGCCAGGGGAACACGGACGTGCCAGAGAACGTATTGATTCATAAGCTGATATTATCTCCTGTCTCCCTAATAGGGCAGCTACCCATGCGCCACGGGCTCTCAGCAGACACGAGGGAACAGATGGCTAATGAGAAGAGACGCACCTGGCAAGGGGGAGGTGGCAGGGTGCAGAGCCAGGCTGCTGTCAGGCAACCAAGGGGCCTCCCCAGCTGTGGTTGATGTGGAGGGAGACGTCTCCTCTCCCTCGGCTTCCTTGTCACTGTGGGCGGCTCATCACACCCCGCCCTATCCTCACACGCACAGCCTGGTGGAAGGAGGCCCATTTCAAGAATCCCCGACACTGTGATGTCTACAGACGCACGGTGGCAGTAGAGGGGATACGCGGTAAGGGCTTTGGTGTTCAAATCCAGGTCCCACACTACACTGCAATGTATGACCTTCAGGAAGTATGGCCTTCAGGATCTGGGCTTCAGATCCTCATTTAGTAAAGTGGGCGCAATGACAGCAACCTCAGAGATTGTTCAAGGAACAAGTAAGATGCACGCACAGGGCGTATCACATCTGGCCCATAAGAAGTGGGTCAACACGCGACAGTTACCGAAATGCTACTGTGAGATCGCGGGCAGCTTCTGGCTTCCTGCTTCTTTAGTCCCGCTTGTCTTGGAAACCTGAGTTTGGAAGGTGTTTCCGTGAAATGCACGTCACCGGCAGAGTAAGAATGAATGAATGAATTACAGACACTTAGCGACAGCCCCTCCAGAAGTCAGCCAGCCTGTCTTCCTGCCTTTTAATTCCTACCTTCTCATCCCCCAATCATGTCCTATCTTCAAAGGCCCCCTTAAGATAAAAAGATCCAGGAGCTTCCTTGATAATCCATTATATTTATAATGACCCATGGGAGAGCTTGTAAAGGGACAAGAAAGGGGTGGCGTGTTCTCTTACTGTAATTTCCCAGGACACTCCAGGCTCTACTCCTTAAGCATCCTCACAGTTAGGAAATGCTTCCTTATGTCTAAACTTACACTCTCCGGCTGCTATTGAAGCCTGGTATCTAAGCAAATATGGGAAACAGTTGACCCCCGCCAGTCTGTACACAAAGAAAATCTTCTAAGCTCTAGTTATTTCTCAGAGCGTGCTCCTCAGGACACTAGCTTTTCCAGGAGGCGTTTCGTGAAAACAAGGTCCCACGTTCAAATGAGGTGAGCAAACACTGCGTGTTCTAGTCACCTTTTCAAGATTCACAATGCACGCTAGCACATTAAAGGGCTAAAGAAGTCCTACAGTAAAGCAGCTTAATTTTGCTTAACCCAGAACTTTCCAAACATATTGACCCATGGAACACTTTTCCGCCCCAAATCTATGAATGTCTCTCAGGAGCCTTCTACAGAATGTCCGGTGGGAAATGTTACTCTAAGTATATCCAGGGAAACATGTATCATAACTCCCAAACTAAGTGATGGAGGTACTAAGCTGAGAGGGATATTACATAAAATTAACCAGTTTCAGGATGGGAGGGGAGTAAAGGCCCTCTGGCTCCTGTCGTCCACCATGAGCTCTAGCCAAGAACATACCCTGGCCTCACTCAGGTGCCCTGTGCTCCCCAGCCACGCTGCCCGGCTGGCTGTGACCTTAACCGAAATGACGAAGTGTTAGGAGCCCTGGGGTGGGTCAGGTTCTCACGGGGACCTTGATTCTCTTCTTATAAATGTCCCGGGAAGGAAAATCTCAAGATCCCCACTCCCAATGGCAGTGGATTCCATCATCATCGAGACATCAGGGGAACCAGGGTGAAGGACAGAGCCAATGGCCACCTGGTAAGGCCGAGTGATGGCACAGGGACCAAAATCAAGTCTTCAATTACCCCAAGAGTGCTTGCCTTTGTGACAGTGCTTGTGGTGCCAACATATGTTCACGCCTGTGTCGTCTTGCGCCCAAGGCCTGTGTTTTCCTGAGAGCAGGGATGTGTCTGCCCCATTTTCAAACCCCGCACTGCACCCAGCACAGTGCCTGATGCCTAGGAGTTGTTTGGTAAATATTGGTCAAGGCTGTTGACGAAAGACGTTTCAATGCCCTGGGGTCCTCACTATGCCTGACTCCGCTCATGCTCTTACCCCTATAGAAGGTATAAGAACATGCACAGAACTGGTACCACCCCTTGATTGCCCTCTGGAAGTTACATTATTATGTTTTGAAAAGCAAATTCCTGACATCTTGTTTTCTTATCACTGGGCTTCCTCATTTAAAAAGTTTAAAATGTGTACACATTTGTGTATGTGTGAGCATATGTGAGCATGTTTGTGTGTGTGTGTGTCCTTCTGTATACAGTGATCTTCAAGGGACTGAGTAACTGCAATTAAAGGTCACGTCATGGCCACAAGTGAATACAGGGGAGTGTTATCTGGAATGAAGGGTGTTCAGAACAGGCCTGGAAGGAATGCGGCACGCATAAAGGCTTGAGAGCCACGTGGGTGCTGCGTCTGAGCTGAGTGACCCTCACATTCTCCAGCAGCTGTGATATTTCCAATGTCCTGGTTTGCCCACCGGCGTCCACTCACTGGTCCGTTGCAGGGACCACTCCACGGCCCTACAGCCTGCTCATCCACCAGGCCAGGAGCAAGGGCAGGCTGAGGGGCGGGATGGGGAGCGGGGAGGGGGCAAGGTCAGCCGACTAGAGCTAAAAGCGCAAGAGCTGTTCATGATCCAGACTCAGCTCCTGTGCTTGACTTTAAGGAGAAAAGCAGGAAACCAAAGCACAGGTCCAGACCGTGTCCTGGGGTCAAGTGCATCTCCTAACCCTTTGCTGCCTAGGCCTGGGTCCAGGTGAAATGGGGAAGTGGGGGAAAGGCATTGTATTCTCTCCGCCCAGCAGCCCCTTCTCCCTTACTTCTGTTCCCTATTTCTAACCCACCTAGGGCATGACTGTCGCCTGGGCCACTTAAGCTAGACACTTCAAAGGCAGCCTCAACCCCCGCTTCCTTTAACTGGTCAATCCTTTCCAGTCTGTCTCCTAAATGTCTCCTGAATCTGTCCCTTCCTTTCCAATCCCACCAGGTCAGGCCTGCATCATTTCTCCTTTGCAGTCGCCCATTAAGCGAACCGCCCCTCTGATCTCGGGAGACGTGGCCACTACATGGCACAACTCCCAGCTGCCGTTCACATCGATGGTAATGT